GAGCCGAGTCCACTATCCCCCCTCTTTGTGTGATTCCTCTAAGCCTCTCACATAACCTCTCTTCCCCCTTTCTTAACAGTATGAGACTCCATTCCTGTCAATCTCGTCCTCAACGATCTCCTGGAATACCTCGGCGTAATATCTCCTTTTACACAACGGACCTTCACACGCGAGATGTGACTCAAATCTCTCTAGGGGTTTATTCACACACTCTATAACAGTAACGAGTACACGTAGATGGCATCTCCCAGACAGCGCAGTTCAGCAGTCCAGCACAGCGACTTTGATTGTAATGGACCGAGGTGCGAAAGCGTCGCGGTTCCGAACCTTGTCCTTTCTTGTGTTCCGGTAAGCACAAACTTTGCTTTTAATAACCGTGGGTTCGATGACTAGATAGGCTTTCTGCAGGCACCATGCAATAGTGGCTCGGTCTGTTCGGCTCACACTAGGCTCAAATCAGTGAGAAGAGGCGGATCCAGATCTGCGCTAGTCTGTCATCAGATAGGTGCACAGTTCCACTACATCCGTACTTATTCAACTCTCTCGTTTCACGCCAGATCATCATCCCTTGGAGGTGCAAAGTAGCGCTCTCCGCGCAAAGCTCGGAGGCGAATGTGCGGTTGTAGAAGATCTAAGACGATCTCATGCTGATCGCATTTTGCAGCGGCTTGCCTCAAGTCATTAATATGTGACCATGATGCGGGGGACACATGCGAACAATCTCGTGTGCGGGACTTGGATGAATGCACATGGACGACCTGGACTTTCAATTCCGACAATTAGCATGGACGCCCCTCTCCCATTTGGCTTGCTTCTCTGCATCCGTTGGCTGTCGGGGATCATCAATCGTCTCGATCTAGAAATGGAAGACACACAAATTTATTCTTTGCAGGGAAACTTGCTCGGCTTTCATCTCGGCGATCCCACTCTTTCTCCCTCTTCCCTCTGTCTCTGACGCTCTGTCTCTGACGAAATTACGGAGATTAGGAAGTTACGAAAGGCGATCATGCGGGGAAGAGGACTGCGATTAGAAAGGACAGTTTCCTTTTCCTGGTAGATTAACACGTTGAATCTGCATGTTCAATCGGAGTACCATTGGCCCAAGGAGAAAGTCCCTCGGGTTTCAGTTTGGGCACTCTTTCGTCCAAGGAACTCCAGTGCATCTCATTGGATACCTTGACTTGGCTAGAATGCGGACTCATTGGCTGAAACGTACCCTCGGAGATAGCGTGCATACTCTTGGGTCGACAACTGGGTCATTTGCTTAACTCTTGCTGTGGATAGAACTACCACTGCTACACTCTAATGCAACGAAGTAATGGAGGTGCCGTTAAGCGTGCTTTGGAATTCGTCTGCAATCTTAACAATTCATCAGACGTTCAGCGTCATTCAGCGTGTCATCTTCCAAATATGACTTATTAATTTCCTCCTTAAAATTCAAGTCAATCGGTTAGATAGAGGTGCGTGTTGATTATAAGGACAAATATCGGTAAGCGTTCGTAAACATAGACAGAAGAAAGCGAGTACATGCAGTGCATCCTAACAATAAACACGAGGACGAGTCGAAGAAGGCGGATTTAACATACGTTTAGGGTGACTTCCTGCCATTATCCGTCTCCCGAAGTGTCTTTTGTTTGTAGAATAGTTCTGCATAGCTGTCTTAGCGCTACTGCATATGTTACGCAATTCCCCGGAAGGGATACAATCTTAAAGTTGAGAAATTACAAAACACTTACTTGATAATTGTTCACAACACGGGGCACAGTTTCATTTCCGTCATCGATTATGTTTACAGGGTTGGCATTGAGCCTTTATATCAGTGTTTTTGTCATTATTATGACTCAATACATAGGATACTGTGCGAAAGAATTTCTTCTGCATTTTTTTCTTGACATATGGATTCTGCTCGAGCAGTTATTACATTACGTAACCAAGCTGTGCACTACCAAAACGGGTTGCGAGCGAGCCTCAAGTTAGCACAGTCACGTCTGCGCCACCATCCCGCAGAATGATAGACTCGTCTCCTCCCACTACACTTTCACCAGAAGCTGAAGCTCGCCTTGCTAACAGAGCACGTTTTGAGTTAGAGCTCGAATTTGTCCAAGCTCTCGCGAACCCCTTTTATCTCCACTCTCTCGCGCAGCAAAATATCCTTACACAGCCCGCATTCATCAATTTCCTAGCATACCTGTTGTACTGGAAGGAGAAGGACTACGCTCGGTTTATTCAGTTAAGTTCTGTCCACAATCTCCGTTCTTCCTTTCTTCTCAGCTTCTAGCTGTATGATATTGATCATCTTGGCGAATAGCTATCCGCATGCACTACATCATCTAGAGCTTCTCCAGAACACCCAATTTCGCTCCGAGATCGGAAAAGATGAATGGCGCGAGTACTTGAATCAGAAGCAATTTGATCATTGGAGGACTTGGTGCGCGAGATTGGGTTTTCATCTATCAGGACTCATAAAGCAGACTTATTGGTCACACATAGGCGAGAAGACCCCAGTCGTCTTACGGGTGCAGTCACGACTCTTGCGGCCGCGGCGTCATCTGCTGCAGACGCAGTTCAAGTATCTGTGAAAGATGGTGTGGTTTAAGTTCCTTCGACTCTACAATGTGCAGCCTCGTTTCTTCAACATTGCTTCATGCCAATTGCTTCTGCATGAGTAATCTATCCAAGTATGGACCGTGGGAAATCTGACTTATTGTCTTCAAGTTGGTAATCCGCATGCAAGTAGCGGAACAACTCTGAACAAAAAGAGCACGAAGGCAGGAAAGGCACCGGTCCTATCGACGGGTCAACGAGGCTAAGCTTTGCATTTGCTTGAACGTGCCGGACGAGCTTTCCTTTGTCCGAGGCCATGAACAAAAAGTCCGGATCATGTTCCAATTTTCATAGTTCTTCAAAATGCGCGCCTGGGTATTCAGCTCTTTACACCGGGAGTGGAGCCGGATAGATACCTGTTACTTTCCAACACGTGTCTTTTGTTTTCGGAATTTATGCTAACAATTACAGTGCGAAGACATACTTATTAATTAAAGTGATCATTACCCGCCCGGGGGTATGGCTTCATACGCCATACACAAAAGCATTTCTCTCCATTCTATGTAGCGTGTTAATCTTTTTGTCTCATCGCGCTGATCATGATCGTACATAGTTGAAGCTGTGCTATGAGGGACCCACTGAATGCGCCGCCTGCTCAGACTTCTGCTTCGCGACTTTAATACGTATTCAACTGAAGAGTTCTTCCGCCTCAATCCTCCTCAAGGTTCGTCTCTGATAACTTGAGTCTTTCGTAGGCTTGTAAACATTCGGAGTGTGTGGCCTTCATTCTTTTGCACACAGTGTATTCTTTGTGAGACGTGCCGATTACGGTACTAAGTTCTCATGAACTGAATCACTCCTAGGCTGTGTTAGCTATTGCTGGTGCGCAGTAGGCTCCGTGGAATGCGAGTACGCCTAGACCGATATACATAACTACTGATGTCAACAATGCACGCACACAGCTGGAGACTCAATTGCTTCTGTTTGTGCCGACGGCGGCGCATGGGCCGCCTCAAAACGTACTCCACCGTACATGGGTTTGCTGTGTCGCACAGGCACGAGGAATGTTGAAGACAGGATATATAAGAGCGTTGAGCGCATTCTGAGGCACCACATTCAAATCCTCTCACTTGCACTCGTATCGTCGACTTATATTTGATTATACCCTCGACTACAAGTCTATTACACCAACCCCACTTATTCTGACCAGCCTAATTGCAATGGATTCTTTTGAAACTATTACTATCGCGTCGTCTCCTGGGTCTGAGACGACGAGCGTACCAGTCTCGCATGAGATCGGCGATACCAGTCGAACGTTCTGTGTGATCGCGCAGCGACCTTTCGTCAACTCGCAGACAGAGGTGGAGTCCGTCCCGGTCGACGCTGAGGTGTTCAGCACGAGCAGGACGTTCTGCGTTATTGCGTAGTACGTCTCCTATTTAGCTTTCGTTTCGTGTCCTGGTTCTTTAACTAAACATGTTGTTATGATAGATCATTTCTGGAACTGTCGCTCATTTTTCTACCTTCTTTTCTCTCGGACTTATCATATGGTTATTTGTGTTTGCTATCTCCATTGAATGGTGTTCGTTATTATCTCCCCTCCGGTTCGCCACTTACGGACGATTTTTGATTTTTGCCACACTCCGCTCGTTCATTCATTGTACTTCGCCTATTCTAACTGAAATAGTACTAATCCTGTATACCTGTATACCCGACTGGATGTTCTATACAATACCCCTTTCTGAACTCCATGCTTTATTTCATCATTCACATATAACATACACGGCTTTGCACATCTTTTCTCTACTTTCGTTTTAATCCTTGATTTGGACATTTAGTATATAGAAAATTATATAGAAAATAAAAAAACGGAATAAAACTCCGTTAAGAAAACCGATGTGTAAGGCAAGGTCAGCATATAAGGTGACTTCAAAAAACAAGTATTATCAGTCAATCTTCGGGTTTGATACTCTCGACTGCTGCAGTGATTGCAGTGCAGTGGTAAGATCCCAGCTGCCCAGGTATATGTGATTTCTACACAACTCGTATGGAATTGTGAATTGTAATCGAATTTTCAGAAATATACACTGACCTACTACAACAAGAAAAACCTTATATGAATGGGGTATAAATGGAGGGTTTAAGAGACATCTGTCTAGCTTGTGCAATCCAAGATAGGTCTGAATGGAGGAAAATAAAACGTGGAGCTTTGTAGGCTTAATATTTGTTTCATTTATATCTCCAATTATTCGTACTCAGATATTTTCTTTAGTGCCCTTAAAGCAAAGGACCATGTCTGACTGAGACTTTGCCTGTCAGACAGAACCTTTTTACTAAAAGAACCTTACTTTAAGCTTACTGCAAATGCAGGAGGCATGCATTGTGACAATGCGATCTACCTGGACACGGACAAATTCTATGGATTTGATTCCTAAAGATACACAATGAAAGTAGGGAAGATCATACAGAACATTAGATGGTGAACGAGAGTGTAGAGTATCTGATATTTGGCCATGGTAGCCATGCCTGGTATGTGTTTATAGGTAATGCTCAACATGCAGGGTGCTCACTTAGACCAACTTAGCCCGGGAAGGTTCTTTGCTGCCAGCTTAAAAGTAATGATGGCGTAAATTATTCTGAACTATGACGTGATGAAGACTGAGCATGATGGAGATCGGCTAGACAATACGTAGCTCGGAAGCAATGTGTTCCCTAACCTGATGGCCAGATATTGACCAAGAAACGTGCAGATATGTAGTTGCATCATCTTCTATAATTAAGTTAGAGAATGTATCTTTAAATCGTTTCCTTCCATTTCAGAAAAATACCAGACCTAGAGACTAGATGTTCTCGGACTTGAGTTTATACACGTCTACTACTCTCTCTCCCACTCCCATCCTTGTCTTTTCCAGCTTATATTTACTCCTTTTCTTTAATACTAACCTGTATATTCAATCGCTTGTGCTTAAGCTTATGCGTGTCCTCTAACAACCTTCGGAACGTATCTACGGGAAGATACGAGCAAGTTTAGTAAGAAGTTATTTTGGCTAGTAGACTTTAACACGCACGGTTCCTCGAGATACTTAATTTCATCTTCGGTGAGTTCTTTCCCTGATATAATAGATGATTCCAGACGTTCGGGCTAATAATGCCAACGATAATAGCAAATACTCAGCGAACTCGCGTTCACAAACAAACAAAGGCAAACAAGTACATACCGAACTAATGCCAACGATTGGACTGGAGACCTTTCCATTTATCCACGCCAGCGCGACCTGGCTCATGGTCCACCCTCTCTTCTTCGCCACCTCTTCTACACGCTCTATAATCACCTTGTCTGCTTCTGAATAGGTCCTATTCGCAGAGTCTCGCCGAGTTGTAGAGGTGCCAATTGGTGCAGCAAGGCTACCAGCCTGGAGTGGACCCCAAGGGATAAGGCCGATCCCGTGGGCTTTGCAGTATGGTATCATCTCACGCTCCTACAGGCAAGAATCGAAATTAATATTGTAATATTTGTCTTTTTTTAATTTAAAAAAAAAGGCAAAAAAATCTCTTTAAATGAGAAATAATGAACGACAAAAGAAGAATGTGATGGTCGGATAACTTGGATAGACAAGCGCACCTCCTCGCGATAAAGCAGTGAAAACTCATTTTGCATGCTAACGAACTGTGTCCACTCATTCTTCTCTGCAACATGGTTGAGTTCTGAAAACTGCCATGCGCGCATCGAACTTGCACCAATATATCGGACTTTGCCGGATTCGACAAGATCGTGAAGCGCTTTCATCGTCTCTTCTGGTGGTGTGTTTGAGTCGTAGCGATGGATCTACGTATGTTCAATTTACCTCAATATTAATATAGAACGTTGTTAGATGAAAGACAAGCTTACCTGAAGCAGATCGATGTAACTCGTTCCAAGCCTCTCGAGTGAGTCCTCCACTTGATTGAATATTGCCGCCCGACTCAGTCCACTCTGATTCACGTAATCCCTCGTATCCTTCAACTCTGGATTCAAGTGGGTTTTGACTGCCGGATCCTCATGCGTCAGGTTATAACACTTGGTGAATATCAACACTCTATTCCTCGGGATTTGATATTGGTTGAGGAATTTCCCGATAATCCGTTCGGAGTAACCGTTGGAATAGACATTAGCTGTGTCGATGGTAGTGACTCCACGATCCCAAGCAGTTTTGAGTAAAGGGAGTGCTTCGGCTTCGTTGATAACCCATGGAAGCCACTTCGACGAACCAAATGACATAGCACCCAGGATGGGCACTGAGACGCGCAGTCCTGAGTTACCGAGTCGACGATATTCGACAGGAGGCTGCGTCGTTTCTGTCTTTCCTGTCGACATCGTTGTAATCGTCTACAATAGGTGAGTTGTGGATGGATATCTCACACGGCGCGATAGCGGAGGTATTACTTATATTTTCTCATGTGTCTATCCTTTGCATGCATTAATGATTTATAAGCTGAATGGGCCGACTGACAAAGAGTTATTAGTATAAAATATTTTTTGAATTCTGTTGCCTTGTCACGTATCTCATATTGAGTTTTTGACTTCGAAACGTTTCAAAAGGACTGGTGAGATGTAGGATGAGCAAGGCACGCAAGGGCATGGAAAGATATCTTTAAATTGATCATCTATATTAATATATATGACATACAGCTCTAGTTCATAATACTTGATAAAGAATCAATCTTTTCCTAGATCTGTAATACATGTAACAAGTTACTGTAACTTTGCACGAGTCAAGCACTGACCCTAGCTACTCTGAATCTCTGATTGGGTAAGTAGAGTGTCATAAATTTTCTGGACTCTCAATCGGCATGCAAAGGAAATAGTCAATTCTATAATGGCTGTAATGTACCATGTTGTACAAGACAGCCTTGTGTTTTACATTGCACAACTCCCTAATTTGTTGAGACTCTGATCATTCATGACTTTATACAAGTATCAAACCTTCTCTTTGTTGTAGATAAATAAGATAGCTCACAGTTATTAACAGAATGGCCTAGTAATATTTAGCTTAAATAACATTGCAATTCTCTGTATAGGCCCTTTAGGGCTAGCAAGACAGGGCATTTACCATTCTATAGGTTCTTTAACGTACTTACCCATTTTCATCAGATATTGAGCAAAGTGATATCTAGATTTAGTAAGGAGTGATCTGAGGACGATCTGATGGTAACAGTGTGAGGTGCTGTAAGTCTGCAAACAGAAAGTTTGCTATAAATACCCTGAGTTGATCATGAGCTTTGCAACACTGCAAATATCCCCCCTTCTCTCAACTTGCATAGAGCAGCATAGCGAGAAAAGATCATATAGGACATACTCAACATGGCCGGCTGCAACCCGTGCAATCGAGACTTTGAGGTTGAAATATCTGACCATGACGGTGAGCACCCGTCTCGGAGAGTCAAAGTCAAGTCAACTCGGGCTTCTCAGCATGGTCCTGCTCCTACGACTCCTGCCACTCATACGACTCCCGCCACTCCCGCTGTAGCTCCACTGCCTGCAAATATGAAACGCAGGTCGAGGGAGTACTCGGGCTCTTATGGCAATTTCAAAGGGATGTACAAATCGACAGATGAGTACCCTGCTGATTCTAGTAGTAGGCCAGCACAGCAGTCGACCCCAGCTCCGCCACCAACAGCAGGGCAGCAAACAGAGCCTGCTCAAGGTGAAGAAGGACGTCACCATAGGAGGCATAGCCATCGTCATAGTAGACATAGTCACGGTCATAGTCATGATAGTGATAATGGAGACCAACGACACTCAGGCAGTCACAGCAAAAACGGACTCAGCTCTTTCTTGGAACTTCTAGGCAAAGCTTTCTCAATATGGGAATTACTTAATGCCTGGCCAGGTGGAAGCAACCACACAGGCGGAAGCAACCATAGGGAAGGTGGCAATTCGCATAGAGAGACCCCCGCGTGGGAGAATATCTTGAGAACTGTCACGGAAGTCATTGGAGAAGATGAGAGTGGGTCCAGCACGCCACCCGCACGTGAGAGTAACCACAGGAGCAGACATGGTAGAGATAATGAGTCCGAGAGATAGGCATAGCCAATGACTTAAGAGACTATGGATATATGTGACAGTGCATTGACTTTGTTGCAAGAGACGTTGACGCATTTATTGTGTACAGGTTCTGCATGTATCTTTATTAGACTCATAGTGAATAAATGTAATGAAACAGAGCTCTGTAGTATTTATTTAAATTACTCATGCATTTACTCAATAATAAATAGACTTTAGAATTGTTCAAGGACAACCCAACGTACATGGAATATATTATTCCTCGAAGAAGCACGGTCCAAGACAATTGTTTTGCGATGTAAAGTCTTGGCACTTTGTATTCGACGCCTCAGATTATCTGCCTTTGCTTATTTCGTCATGTGCAGAATCTGAAAGTGATTGGTGTAATGTACATTGATTGATGCATCGCATAATTAAAAACAGAACGACAGGTGTGAGAATAGTTCTTCTGGGAACGATGAAGCAGGGATGTCGAACGAGAAGGGCAACAAAACGACGATGGTGAAACGAGGAAAGTGGAATAATGTGTCGTCGAACGGAGCATGACAGTGAGATGGGTGTATGACCAGGTGGACTGGGATGGAATAAGTAAAGACTGCGACGATAGTTGAGGCACTGTGACGAGGGGTATCTCAGCGATTGCCGTTGATAGGTCGTCCTCTGGGTCTGGGCGTGAGGCGTGTTCGGAGCAATCGTGTTATATCCATGCGAGACAAGGAAAACATTATGATGAAAAGCGAACCAATCGTTATTGAAGCAGGACTCTTTAATCGCAAGACAAAACGAAGAGTGGAAGTGTCGCAGTTGAGCCGCCAAAACAATAGAGAGCAGAATCCGCAAGGTGAGTGGAACTGAAAGCAGTTGGATACGAAGGATCTGTAGCAAAGAGACAAAAGGACAAGAACCACCATGCAGACCACCCGAGTCGCGGCAGACTACGGAATATATCCTCAGTCATCATCAAGGTAAATATATTGTTCGTTGTCGTTATCATCCATGGGTATTGTAGCCTTTTCGTCGTTCTCCGTGGTTAAACCATCATCGTCAACTGGCTCCACCTTCCTGAGTGCACATTCGCGCAAATACCCATAATCCCTCTGAAACGCGATCTCCGCCTCTTCAGCCTCTTGACGCGTTCGGCGACGAACCCGCTTGAGGACGAAGTCCAACTCGACGAAATTATCGTTATTGTTAGCAAACTTTTGATGTCTTCGACCACGGATATGCTGGAATGGGAAAGGAACTGTTAGGCACGACTACGAATGTTATAATGAAGTAGCATACCTCCTTGAAATCCTCAAACTTCTGCCGGCAGCTTTCACAGTAGCCTGGTTTGCTTTTCTCATCACGCTTGTCAAGGCGAAGTGTGCTCGTACTCTTACACTTGCGGAGAAGTGTAGTTCTTCGTACCGGAACCTCGGGAGGAGGCATCATAGCAGAAGAAGCAGAAGCCTTGCTAACGCTTGCGCTGTGTACCGATTCTTTGTCCGTGACACGACGTGAGGTCACGACTTGGTTATGAAGGCGACCCCGGAGACTGAGAGGAAGTGCTGTGGTAGTCAGGTTATTTCGAGTCGAACTGCCTACTCCCATCGTAGACGTTGTCCCATATGTCGATGCAATGCTAACACTGTTACCAGATGCGGCAATGTAACTAGCTGGATCACCTGAAACAACAGAATTGAAGCCGGACGCTCCGTTATCTCCTACTGGAGGATAGGCTTCGTATGTTTCTTCGTGCAAATTACGATGAAGATTGCTCATCGAAACTGAGCGCCGCAAATCGTTCTGCTTGCGCTGTAATTGTCGCATCTTGAGCTTTTTCGCTTCGACTGCGCGTTGCTCCTCGCGTTCCCGCTCGAGGCGGTCTTGCCTCTCACGACGTCTCTCCTCCTTCTCATTGTATTCGATGAATGGGCCACGTGCACGAGGATCGCAGTATGGGACAGGCCAGCTGCCCTTCTCTTTTCCATCGCTGGTCCTTGTCACAGGATACTCGAGAGCGGCAATAGTTGCGAGTTCTTGGCGCATGTCCTCGACGAGTACAAAATAACTGCCTTTAGAGAAGTAGTGGAAATCGTGTCGCTTCTGGGTCGGATCACGTTCGGTAGTCGTTCCGAATCGTTTTTCAGTCTCCAAAAGGCTTGTAAGGGAACGTGAAACGCCGGGGGCGGCGGTTTTCTCGCTTGCAGGAACGCTGCAGCGCTCAAGCACGGAATTGAGCTTCGGAGTACTCCATATCTTCATTCCAAACTGTTTCGCCTTACGAACAAGAGTCTCGTAACCAGACGAAGCTATGTCATCCGGCCTATTCAACGATGTAAGATCACATTTAAGGTATATGACAAATGACATACAATCCCTTTAGCTTGATTGGACTTCGAAGGTTGGGTCCCGACTTTGCCTTGTTCTCCTTGTTTCCCTCTACATCCGGGTTCTCAGGCACAGGTCGATTCGTTATGAAATGCGTGACTTCGTTAGAGAAGAATTTCGCAATGCGCTGGATCATGCCACCGGATGAGAACACGTGTGGCTGAGTGGAGGCAAGGTACGTACCCCTTTAAGCTGGAGGACCCGGGGAGCAAAAGAATCTCGTTCCGCATCGGTAATATCAAAGTAGAATGTCCATGAAGGAAAGGCGCTAGTATACTTCTCCCTGAACACAGTTTCCCGGGCATCTCGGTCCATTTTGCGCTGTTGTTTATCCACGTTTTCCTTCGTGGTAGCGGACTGAGTTCTGTGTCTCTTTATCGGTGCCACCTCATGCGTCGCTACGGAGCTGTGTGTCTCTGGAGAGCGCGGTCGTTTAAGGACGGATTGATGTGACTTGCCAGATGGATGCTGCGCGATGTTGGATTGTACTTGTGCCACGGTGCGCGGCGCAAGCGGAGGGCGGAACACGGCTGCCATCGTCGTCGCAGGCAGACGAGTGCGATGAGGAAGATGTCGCGGGTGCCAGCGTCGATGGTGGTGGTGGTGAGAGGGAGGAGGACAAGTTATGCGCGTTCATAAGGAAGTAAAGTGAACCGACCAAATAACGCGTACACAATGCGTACGTAAGCACACCTACTCTATTTTTTTCGAAAGTTGACGGGTCTTGTTTTCAACGTCCACCACGACCATGCACGGTGTCCTTTATGAACCTTATCTAGAAACAGAAGCCCTGGCTAATATAAAGTAAATATTTCATTCACTGTCCTTATCCAATACTCTTGCTCACGCCTCCACTTTAGATTTTACCGATACTCCTGCATTGACAAATCCCTTATTTACAAATATGGTGAGTCACCTGGCTCTAGAGTGCCCATTCAGGTCCAGAATCCTTTAAAAACTGGTAGTTATTAGACGATGTATGTTTGACGCGTCCTTGATTGCTTGAACGCTCTGTCAACCTGCGTTTAGGGTGTGACCTGGTTATCAATCTTTTTCCAATGTGGATGGCTCCGAACTTTATAACCTTGCTTGGATTTGGCTTTATCATGGCAAAGTAAGTAGAGGCAAATAAATCTAGCATACTAACTACTTATCTCGCCGCAGCGTATTTTTACTTTCCTCCTTTCTGCCAACGTTGCTCGGACAAGGACCTTGCTGGATATATTTATCTTTTTCTATCGGATTGTTCTTATACCAGACTTTTGACAGTGAGCTACACAAATTCTCTTAAACAATTCGCAATGCAACTCATTTTTCTGGAGATATTGATGGACGGCAAGCACGGCGTACTGGGACTTCATCTGCACTGGGTAGGTCACGCCATATCTGATTGCTCTTCTATTTATTTTATCCCGTGTAATTAGGCCATATCTTCGACCATACTATTGACAGTCTGAACTGTGCGCTTGGCGGTTTGCTCCAAGTTGCCTCCTTATGCATAGGCCCTTCTGCGAAGGGCGTGTTTCTTATCCTCGTTGGATGCTGTGCCATGTGGTTTGTAAGTGCCAATAATAGCTTCGACCATTAACTTAGTCCTAACCCTCCGCGGACAGAGTACATGGGAAGGTATTTCTCACTCTCACGGAATTTAACAACGTCAATATCAAATTCAACATTGTAGAATACCATACTGGTACACTTTATCTTGGTTATTTCAACGGCCCGACGGAGGGTGTTCTGATCGCCTGCGCAATACATCTCATCTCTGCAATTTTTGGTATGGGCTCTGCCTCTTCTCTTTTCGTGCCAATGGTGTTGAGCTGCTTTTAGGTCCCCAGATATGGCTTACCCAAGTCAAGTCGTTTGAGATACTTGGCTGGCAGACGCCGGTATTTCATCTTTACGACATCGTCGTTTTTGCGTAAGAATCGTAATATCCACCTAGCTCATCATTACTCAACAGCCTTCCTTTAGAGCGTTGGCGTCTCTCTTATTCCTGCACATACCCGAAAGGTACGGCTCCTTTGTAACGTCCAGGTTCGAAAATTAACGGCATTTGATTATTTAGCGTCTTTAACGTATACAAATCCCGTCGAGCCGCAAACCAGCCCTTTCTTCCTACTCTCCTCCAGCACCTCCCCTTCTTACTCTTCCTAACTCTTGCCTGCTCCTGGTCGCTCTCCCCGAGTTCCCATATCCTCTCGCATAGTCTCACCTATGCTTCGCACAAGGGACGCGCTATCGGCGGGCTCATTGAGTTTGCCCTTCTTGTGATGTTCGCGTTTGGGAAACTTGGACCGCGAATTATACTTGCGCGTCTTACTCGGTCTCCGTTCCCGTGGCTTAATTTCGGTGCTTTTGTCCCACTTGCCATTGGCGCGATTTACGTGAACTTTGGTAGTGTCATCAATGGGTACGGGTATTCCCTTGTCGTTGAATATTGTACACTGAAAGTCAACTTTCCATTCTCAGCTTCCATCCCTCCGCGCAAACCGAGCGTCTGCTGCTTCATACCGCAGTGCTTATGGCTGGCTTTGCTTTCTTACACTGGGCGCACTTCTTGATTGAAGGTTTCACGCACACGCTTGGAATCAACTGCTTTACGATAAAGGCGAAGGCTGGTGTTGAAGATAAGGCATGACGACTATATCATCAATTATTACGAAGGAATGTTAATGTTGGTTTCTGACGTCACTTTTATCATGAACTTCATTCACAAAATTGGGATTAATTTGGGTTAGAGGATAGCTACTTAATGACTTTTCTTTAAGGTTTTGTTGCAGTTTGGATTTTCACTTCACTCGCTAGGATAATGTTCTAGATCGATTATCTTCGTTATAAGTCCTTTTATATTATGTTGAAGCAATTTTTTTGAATTCCGTACTTCTTATCGCGTGATGAAGTGTGAGAACTATCGGTCATAATTGGATAGGCTGCGTGTGTTATTTGAGTACTCATCTCTTCCAGCTTCTATACATACAACAAGCCATTTGGCATTTGCTGGTGAAATAAGTGGAACGCCATTCAGCGAGAGTCAGGGAACGGTGCGTGGTTTTGAATTCTCCTCTATCTTCCTTCGCCTCTTTCTTACCGCGACGACAGGCGGGTGAACTAAGCTGGCCTCCATGAATGCCGGAGCCTGCAACTGCTCGGAACCTTGGCTGGCAGCGCTTCTGGTTCACAATTAAGCACGCCGTTGAAACCTACCACGATGTTAAATATCAAAAGCCTGATGATTTTAGACCGGGCGAGATGGCACATGCGAGGGGTGTCGTACTACACAGTTACTGGGACTTCCTCGTTCGGAATGGTTATGAGCTAACCGAGGATGAGCGTTGGCTTATTCGAAACGGTGCTGGTCCGAATACATCAAAGCTAGCAAAGCCCGTCTTGGTGCTCAGACGCTTAGGCGCCGGGAAGTACATCGTCTGCAGATTTTCGTCTTGGGGTGGCAGGGTTGCACCTGGCGAAATTATGAGTCCGATGCAACGTTATTTCGCTTTTTCGACTTCGAAAGACTTGGGACAGTGGCCGAAGGGGACGAAAATCCTGCGCACTTCACCTCCTCAACCCAAACCCAATGCAATCATTGCAATACCAACGGAAAGCAAAGGAGTCGAATCCGTCGGTTGGAAAACGCGCTGTTTCTTATGTATTGGTCAATTGGAGAGACTGGAGGCAATGATTCGAAAGCGAGAAAGCGTCTGTGCTCCTGGTTTGGTTCTGCTATTATTGCTAACTTTCATTTACGATAGGACTTCCCGCTTATTGCGGAAAAACTTCGACTTGAGGAAGCCGAGCTACAGAGAACGAAGCGGAAGCATTTTGATAAATGGACCCCTGAAATGTTCGAAGCTTTTGGCCTTTCTCCGAAGGCAGATTCATCGGTATCACTTGATGAAAAGCACTCAGCTTGGAGGAAGGGAGACTACGTCACGTACGTGCGCGGCCGGCCGATATCACTTCCTCGGAACGCAAAAGTAGAAGAGAGAAAGTATCGGGATGTTAAAGCACCGCGACTTCGAGTATGCAAGCCGACGAACCTCATCAATTGGCCGTTCGATCGTTCGCTTGATGAATTTATAGACTGTAACTTTCATATGGATCCGGCGAGACGTTTGGGGAGAAACATCAACTATGGGAAGGTGAAGTATATGCTGCCTCGAGCAGTGGATAAACCACTTCGCTCGGAAACGCCACACCCGGATCCGACATCTCTAAGACGCGTAAACCGTCGGCCCCCGGCACCCTCGCTGCGTCGTTCTCGGTCACTTTCCACTGTTGCTCGACTTTGCAAGGTGGTTACCTAACTTGCACATCACGGATTATCTTTCGGCTTACACTTGTCGCGAAAGAAGCAAGCACAGTACCTACATTCCGCATGCGAGAAGCCTCACAATTCCTGAACATCCGATGAGCAAAGGCCGACAAGCACTTCCGTACTCTGCAACACGTCATCGGCCCGCTACGGGTTCCAAGCTCCGTTCGACCGAGCCTCGAGTCTCGCTCAACCCCCCTTCTCCTCGATCGAGGCGGATGATTCTCAGTTTCACCTCTATATGATATGATGCATGTTTCGTGTAGGCAACGTGCGCGTGTATATGCTTCTGGACGTGATTTGCAATTTGCGACACCCGATGCCAACGTGCGCACCCAGCTGATCTGGTGCGTTTACCCGAAGGATGAGAAGTGGTTTATCCAGGATGCCGCCGTCTTGCATAAAGTTCATGAGTATTAAGAACTTCAAAGAAGAAAGCTTTGTGGAAGTTGATGATCATGTGATCGTCATTTGCTCTAAATGTGTTTCTTCTTTGTGCCTCTTGTAGATGTCCAATTCACAATCTGAATTCCTTAGATTACTTTATGGAACTTTATTCGAATTCATGATCTGGTGGACCATGTACTCTAGTATAAACTTGATCATGTTAATGAAAATAGACCTATGGATCGTCTAAACACATTCATTCATCTATCCTTCAATTAACATGTGCCTTCCTTCAGGAAGTCAAACAAACTGTTGTGAAATTTTCGATCGATCGTAGTACGGGTCCGTTTTTTCATACGCGTGTGTTTTTATGCCATTCTCAATACAATCATGAAGCTGTGGCGGCAGCCACTCCGTATACGTCTGTAACAGTCTGTTAAAGACTCGGTAGGATGACCTGATTTCGATCACGATTATTAAATTGCCGGAACATTCATGGAAACAAGCTTGTAGCCAAATTCTCAGATCACTACGAGTTTATGTTTTAGGTCAACGGTCCACAAAATGCCTAACATCATATCAAGGTTATATTTATATTTAGGTCAATGGTCCACAACATCCATCAAAGAACATCTGCAACTCTACATTTCATTCACTTATCCGGACTATTGCCAGGACAGAACTACGCTTAGCACGTAACTAAGTATTCAGAGAGTTGTAACATGCCTCGAAGTTGGCTTATGCTTCGAGCTGGCGTGTCTTGCTGGATTAGAAAATAGTTTGCATCATCCTTCAACGCAAATTAATCTGTTCAACTGTACATGGATTCCTGAAAGTAACGAACGTGTTCCTCCGCCACTGCATTAGCCACCGACGATCCTGTCTGTTGACTGTTTTTATTGATCGGACAGTCCGTATGTCGGTCAAGATCAATTCTGTAGACGGTGAACATGCAAAGCGGCCTGGAGGATTCGGACGTTGCCGAAACGCCACCATTCTAATCCTGTCGCTGGCAAGTCGCCACCATCAATCTTTTATTTTTACCTTCACCTCGCTTTCCGCCTATGCCCTGCGGATATCATGCTCAGCAAGTTGCTAAGTGTTGTTGTGATGATACTATAAGGCAATATGAACTGACGGCATACTGGAAATTTTTCACTAATGGCGTTAATCTTCTGGCTTCGGTGATAAATGCAATGATGCGAGCGGGTCAACACGCTCCCGTTCAATGCTCTCTTTCAGACAACGAGGACACCTGTTCCGCGCCACAGCATGCGCCCTTGTCGCACTGTATGCGGCTCTATGTACTCGACGTACATTATAGACGTGTGTATTTCAGTGTGCCAGTCCATTGCAGGGTCGTATCAAGCGCACTTACGTTTCCAGACGCAAAGCTATTTATTCAACTCAATGGAACTATATATATCAATTCTAACTCAGTTCTGGACAGCAGCTAACAAGCTACCTTCTGAGCATATCTGTCGACCATTGTCGTGAAACTTACAAGAATGCAGATCAACTTTGTTTTTCTGTTTTCTGTCGGCGTCTAGACGTCATCATTGCTACGTTACTGTGGGAGTGCGACGTCGGCGTAGGCATCGGCCATCGTTTTAGCTCGTTCTCGATCGATCGTTTAGGCAGCTAGAAGTCCTTCTCGAGCATGTTTGGTTGCGCGTTTGAATCTCAACAAGATCGCAAGGCGTGCCTTGCGAATAACAAACCAACAATTCAGTCAATGTATATAAGAAGCACCTCTGCACTTATCTCAGGACCAGCGCATCTTCCTATTCTCACTGCCCTGTCTCCGATAAGCATGCCTGTACTCTTCGCATTCTCCCCTGGTCTTTTCTGCTGGCTCGCCATCGACTTGTTGTGTGGTTATATCGCAACAATCGCGCTTTATCAACTGTTTTTTTCTCCACTCCGATCAGTCCCAGGCCCGTGGTATGCGGCTGTTTCCGACTTCTGGCTTACAACCCATATCTTGCGTCTGCGTCGCTGCCGTGCAATCAATGACCTTCTACTCAAGTATGGACCGATAATTCGAGTTGCACCAAACAAAGTCATTTTCCTTGATGCACCTACAATGAAAGTGGTATACGGCGTGAGCAGCAAATTAAGCAAGACTATGTTCTACAAGTCGCTCACCACGTACGTAACGTTCTCATTATTGCAAATAAAAACGTTCTCTGACGTCTCTCCACAGAAACGCAAATGATCATGCGTAAGATTCCTAAAATTCCATTATTGTATCAAGTTCCGTGCTTATCGCTCTTAGGATGACAACGCTGGAACATGGTCCCCATCTCGCACGAAAACGCGGTTACGTTGCTCATTATAGCCCGTCAAATTTAGCGCTGTTCCAGTCAGAATTCTACAATTGTGTCAACCATTTAACAAGTGTAAGTTGAGCTGTGTTTACTGAAATGCTTGACTGACGCCTTACAAGGTAATCTCCGCATCTGCAAGTATGTCGGCTACCCCAATCGATACTTTGCTACTCTTCCGACATTTCTTCATCGACATCAACTGCACACACCTTTTCGCATATGAAGCTGGCTCATTGAAATCCTGGTCCGAACATATTCTGCACGGATGCCAACCAGATGAACTCTCCCGTGCTATTTATGATTTCCCGAAACGTGGGCTACTGGTATGTTGACATCCACATCCTTCTTGTATACGCTCTAATGAGTTATTAGAGGAGCGTCCTTCCAAAGTGGTTATGGAACGCCCTTGAGCAGATTCCCATTTATAGATGGCAGCAATTTTGCGACTCTGACGCCAGACTCGGACGTGTAAGTCATTCACCTTTTATCAACGACAAACGCTATGTTGACGGCGGTCGTAACATATAAGTTCGGCTTTGCCAGACTTAACGAAATGAGGGTCGTAGTTCAGTCTGGAAAGGCAGAATGCACCGATACGCAAAGGGAACCTTTAATTACACGACTTATTCGCCACAAATACTCTGAGCAGGAGGCAATGCCGGATAAAGATATTGTTTCGGAATGTATCGGACATCTGTAAGTTCGAGTGCATTTTTCAGCTTAGTTACTAATATGCTCATTATCTATTTAGTATTGCCGGAACAGACACTACGACCACAACACTGTCATACATATTATGGGAACTCAGCCGTCGTCGCGATGTCATGCTACGTCTACAGGCTGAGACTGATGAATACATGCCAGATCCAACACACGTTCCTGACATACAAGACCTTCAAAAATTACCTTATCTGACTGCAGTCATAAAAGAAAGTAAGTCTACTTTTAAGTAGAACTTCCATCCAGCCGCCTATTGTATTTCCTTTTACGGTCCCAAGTCCACCCAAGTTGCATCTCCTTTCGATAGCGACTAATGCATATATCAGGTTTGCGTATTTACTCCGCCGGCCCAAGTCCTCTGGAACGTGTTGCCCCAGCAACACCGAATGCTGAACTGGCTCTGCTCGGACATTCTATTCCCGGAGGAACGATCATTGCGTCTCAAGCATACTCATCACATCGTCACCCAGGAGTCTTCTTCTGTCCCGATCTGTTCCTGCCTGACAGATGGTTGCTTGAAGACCTCTCACCAGACGTTTCTCGACCAAACACGCACAGCTGTTCATCTACATTAGGAACTCAGCCTCAATCTAGTACACCTCCACAATTTCGGGTTCCGTCCCCTGCACTCTCCGACGCTGAGAAAGGGTCTAATGTCTCAGTTACTTCGACTTTGAAGACTTCGGTTAGCCAAGCCCAGATGGCCGCACACATGTTCCCTTTCGGACATGGTCCACGGGTCTGCGGAGGACAGAACCTCGCGCAATTCATGCTTCGCGTCGTGCTCACTGCTATCGCTCGGAACTTCGATCTCGTTGCACCGCCGGAGACGAACGAACGGAGCATGGCGATACGAGATAGCTTCGTGCGTTGTTTTTTCCCTTGTCTTACTATCATAAATCACATAGCCACTAGTCACGATCAGCTGACCCACTGCTTCTTGATCCTTTGATGTTGATACAGGTGATATTTCCCGCTGCTCTGGAATGTAAACTCATCTTTGTTCCGCGCACTCCGAGCAGTGCATCGAATCGCCACTGATCGATCAAAATTGCCCGGTAACCGTAACATCTTCCGCGCTGGCTTCGGGCTTTTTCAGTGTGGGTATCCTTGGGTCACCGGATTCTTATCTACGATCCAATGTTTCTGCTGTGAAGTACCTTTGGCTCTAACGTTTCTCTTACTGTTCGGAGCTTTTCATTGCTTTCTCTTTCGTTTTCTTATCAATCATCTGTTGATGGTCTTGTTTTCTTCACCCTGTGTCTACCTCCGTACCTTTAGAAAGAAAAAATTCGCAATATTTTTAGAGCAAGTACAATATAATAACTATCGAATGATATCGAATGATGATCGAGTTTAAGACATTGCTATGCTTTTTGGTGCTTAACGCCCGCAGAAAATATTAGCAAGGTCGAAATACTGTGTCTTCAAATTTATATCAAGGTATATTGATCCACTTTACTATAGGCTACAACAAGGAGTTTTAATCGAATAGTCACTATCTACCAGCTTTAGAAGAACGAGTATTATGCAAAAATAATAAAGGGCAGAATAATAAATAGCCTCCGAGAGATGGTAAATATATGAATAAATAAGCGCAATCATGCTCCAATTGATGATAGAAAATGACCACGCGAATCGGGATGAAATATGATCCAAATAAAAATATTGAGCGATGATGACAGCGATGAAGAAGTGATACAAATTTTGAAAGAGCTATGATCGCGGGCGGGCTTTACGAGCGCCAGGGGCGCACGAGTCTGCACAGCAGTGTTGTGTTGTGTTTTGATCCTCTGTTTCGTGGCAATCAATCGTTAGCACCACGTCAAATACTAATAAGGAGATGTATGACGTACAATATGTGTTCTGCTTTTTCCTTGCGGCCGCAAGCAAAGGCGTCTTGTCGTTCGTTGTGGTCATCGGAGGCAATATAGGCAGGAGACATTGCCCGAACACGAGCTTTGTCTCGCGGTACATGAGAAGCAAAGTCGTTGCCGCTCCGGGACTGAGCACAAGTGACAGAAGGGACAACCATCCCACGGTCCGCACGACCCATTTGAATGTATCCATTTTAGTCGTCTTCAACGTTGCTCGGCGGATCGCAAGGTCCCAGATGAGCGCAGTCCATAATGCGGAAAAGACAACGATCACGTCGAATTGCACAAAGTGTACTACACCCGACTCGGCTGTAGTTTCTGCCGGAGATGGGATGCGAAGACCAGTCGCAGGCACGAAGAAGTTGTAGATGAACATCATTAGCCCGAGCAGCTTGTTGCGGGTACTTCTGCTGTGGGTGCTGCCCATGATGCTGAGCTGAAGCCGGGAATGAGGACCAAATGAACATGTGCGAAGAACGCTCCAATGAAGCCCGAGAGATACAGAAACATTGCTGGCAGGTATCCTGAATCAGAACGCGACGGGCCGTGGGAACCCGCAAGTCGTCTGCGAATGAAGAGATAGCCCCATTGTCCGAGTGACATGAGAATGGGGAATGCTACCCAGAGCGGTGCCTTGTGAAGTGCTGGTAGGCCAGGAACGAGCATGACAAGTGCCGGGAAGGTGTGTCCGATCCACCATCCCGCGACAGCGCTCTCAGCTTTGAACTGCTCCATGCCTGCACCTTCTGCGCGTACCTTCGCCTGCATGAAGAACGCAAGCCAGATGGGAATGATAAAGCCTCCACTGAGCCGTTGGTATAGCACCGCCCAAGTCATAGGGAAGGCAAGCGCAAGTACTGCCAAGCTGCGTTTAGATTTTGTTCCATAGACGCCAATTCTTTGAGCCTCGATTAACGGGACCTGAATCGCGCAGCCGAAGGACCAGACGAAATGTACAACGGTTGGGTATGCTGCCGAAGACGAGTTTCCAAATGCTGCGACGAAAAATGAGATCAACGGGGTGAGGACCTTGTCAAGGAGCGGAAGGGTGTTGTGCGTAATTGAGAGTGGGACATCCGACGCTTTGTGAACCTCGAGAAAACGGTCGGGAGCGTGTGAGAGTGCCATTTGCAGCACGATGAAATAGAAGCCGCATATTGCGAAGAAGACGAAGACGACTGAGGAAAGATGTACAGGAGGTAGGAACTGCGCCATTGCTGGAGATGCCGAGGGAGGTTGGATTGCAGACATCGAGTCAAAAACCGCGATCCTTATATCTGTCTGCAGGACGGGTGCGAGTCATGAATCGGGAAATTTTGAAACACATGGATATGGGACTGATAAGCAGCACTGCCGGAAATAGCACGTCGCCGACCCAACAACTGCAAAACGATCAAATCAATTTGATCATCTAGCGTGCGACGTGCGGGATAGGATTCTGCTACAGCCTGAAGATCATTCGCGCGCCCAGGAGTTGAAGTCGCTAAGCGACGCACCCTGATCATCTATGTGAACCATGCATTCAGTTCGTTCACCTCCCCGGGCGCCAGGTTACGGTTGGTAGAGGCAATCGAAGTCTAGCTAGTTGGCATTAAGATGACATTAAGGTGTGGAATGCGACTTTGTTGTCCGCGGCATCAAAGAGCATCAAGTGCAAAACGTTGCCAAAACCCAATCCTTCCTGGATCTTGATCTTGCGCAATAAGTCACAGCTCTCGGGATCTATTGCAACAGAAAAAGTCGCGCCCGACTGAGCCGCCCTGGCCGGTGAGGCAGCATTCCGAAACCAATCAAACGCGGAAATGCAGGGAAAATTGAAGAGCATATGGTAGTCAGGCGCCCAGCCAGGCCAAGGAACCTGCAAGTACAATTCCGGTTCGCCGTGAAAGTTCTGATAACGGAAAGAGGGTCATGCATAGCGAAAAGCATTTATGGCTCGGAATACTGAAACAAAACGAGTCCATGATTCGGCAATCGACAGACCGGCATGTTTAACACTGAGTTAGAGGTCAGGAGAGGCCGAACCCGACACGGATATAGAGAGGTTACAAGAATGTCTCCGATTGTGCAAACCCATTGTCATTGTGGTTCCGTTTGAGACAGGTCAATTCAGTTGGAGATACATTGCCAGGCTGGTTTCAGGCTATCTACAATATGCATGAAGTTACCGTTCCGGATAAAAAAATAAACTGCGACTGTAGCTACAGTTGAAAATACCTTATTGCATCACATTATAATGTATAAATTGAATATTGCATAGCTTTCTGCCTAATCCCAGCTCGGGATAAGGGAATTATGCACAAAAATAGTCTATTGCATATTGCATCAAGATTTGTGAGAAAATTATGCAAAATTCTGAGCATTTTGGGAAATTAGACTGCTTACTGTTGTGATTTTTGTACCCAGAAGCCTCACATATTGTTCTCTGACATACTTCAATACAAAAAGAATGTTTCTGATTGACATTTCATTGCTTACAATGTCTTCAATGCTGCCACAAGACCAAGATAGGACAGCAAAGATCTCTTCATGATATGTGGGGGAAAGTTATTTGTATTGACTAGCTTTTTCTATCTTTTTGTTTCTATAGATTCTGACTGTATTTCCTTGTATTACAAACTATTTCTTGAGTTTTACAGTGATATACACATTTACTGTACTTGTCATTGTCTTGGTTGTCTTTCTTGATGCTCTAAATATGTGCTTATTTTCTTGTCATAGTGTATATGTCTTCAAATAAATTGAAAAGTAATATCGAATTTTGGGTTCCTAATTAAGTAATGTTTTCGCACGGTTACCATAATGCATATTGCTCATATTGCATAGGTCTGAGGCCTCTCCCGACGTTATGCAATAAGATATTTTCAACTGTAAATCGTTTCAGATACCAAATTATAAAACCGAGCGGATAACGTCAAAAATCGGACATAGCTAGGCGATTCCCGATAGTTCAGGTTAAATATAAATAGTCAGAGTGAAGTTCTACCTCCCGCAATTTGAAAATCGCCTTGTCTTCATTGGCAAACGACTCTCTTTAAACAGTACTTCAATAAGCGCTCTGGCTGTCCTCTTTGAAACCAAGAGCACAGATTGGCAATTCCTCATGCGTATGAATATTGTGCACATAGCACGAGGCTTTCTAAACTCGATATACCAGTGTTGCAGGAATGCAAGCAGTAGCAGAAGAGAGAAGCAAGCGCCAGAGCCAACCGGCGAGCTGCTGAGCCGAA